GGGGTGAGATGACATCTCATAGCTGTTTTAATTTGCATCTCTCTTAGAGCTAGGGATTTTGAACATTTCTTCATGTGCTTGTTAGCCATCTGAATGTCTTCTTTGGTGAAGTATCTGTTCATATCCTTTGCCCATTTTTCGACTGAATTATTTATCTTTATCTTGTTGTGGTGTGTAGTAGGGTTTTTTAAAAAATTATTTTAACTGAGATTTTAATGAAAGCAGGAGTAGCATCCACTTCCAAAATGGCTTGCCCCCGGAAACTCTATGTATGAACAGTGCTCAGGACTTTGATTCATAGGGTCGCTATGAGTCGTCTATGACTCAACAGCACCTAACAACAATAACAATGACGGCAAAGGGAGAGAGCTACGTTGGCCTAGTGGACAGAAGTTATGCTACCAAGCCGAAAGGTGGATGATTTTAATCTGCGGCCCTCAGGCCGGGTTCAGATTGTCTTCCTGTCAAACATTCTTCTAGGTGGTATAGCACTGGTCTGTGCATTGCTGTATAGAGGTAGCTCGTGGTTGCTGAGATGCTGAACACTGTGACACTGATGTGCCAAACGTGGTAAGGTTATCCATAGTGGACAGTGTTTTCTGGAGCTTCCCAACTAAAACAAGCCTGGAAGCAGGAGCGGCATCCACTTCCGAAATGGCTTGCCTCCGGAAACTCTATGTATGAACAGTGCTTGGGCCTTTCATTCACAGGGTCGCTATGAGTCATCCACGACTGGACAGCACCTAACAACAAACAAGAGCAAATGAAAGTTTATAGAGAACTTGTATTTCCTTTCACTTATTGTTGCATATTTTCCTCCCTACCCACCCCCCCAGTTTGCTTTTCTCTTGAAGAAAGCATGTTTAATTATTTTAGAGCACTACTTGACTAAACTTTAAGAAGCAATACTTGAGAATCCTTAGACAATGACATCAAATTGGGCAATCAGTGAAAGAGAGGAAGATCCTCAATGAGATGGATTGACACAGCAACACTGGGCTTATGCATGGCAGAAACTGGGAAGACAGTACAATGCAAGGTTTCCATCTTTTGGTCATAAGGGTGCTATGAATTATAGCCAACTTGGTAGCACCTAACAACTTTAAAAAATCACTTCACCACCTCAAATTAAGAAGCTCTCACATTGATTGTACACACATGTGCCTCTATTTTAAGGACTTCCCTTCCTTATTCTTAGTTCTCACTTCTCAAGGCATATCAGTGATGTCACTAGGTTTGTGTAACTGAGTGCAGTAATGCTACTTCAAAGGATCCTTGGCTCATAAACACAGATTCAGGTTTGTGAGAAGCAGAGTTTCCTTTCAGAGCTGCACCAATAGAGTTGGATGGAGTGACATGAGTGTCACAGCAATCCAAAGTGACTGCTTAACATTGGTTTAATTTCAGAGCCGGTTATACCACAGATCAAGATAGCATCCATACACAGTTATTCTTAGAATTTGTTTGGGTTTGAATAAAAAATCTCATTTATAAGGGCAAACTGTAAATTTTGACCACAATACGTTCCTAAGGGTACATGTTCACCCTATGTGTAGAAAAAGAAACTTTGCAACAGTTGCAGAAGGATTATAAGGAGTGCCCAAGAATGAACCAAATTATAGTGCCAGTGATAGTGTAGTACTTAGAAGTTCAGAATTCTTTATATAGTTATCAGTTATAAAATATAGTTATTTTTCTTCAGCCTGCAAAACTAGTTGCTTAGCCTCCGAATTCTGTTTCCTGTCTTTAGTCATGTAGAGTAGTTTAATCTGTTTGTTTACCAGAAGAGGAAATGCATCTATCCTAGATGCTGGTGAAGCTGGTTCTTCAGTCATATGTAAACTGTATCTTAATCTGCCTGTTTATCAGGAAGAGAACTGGGGCCTTCCTGAATTACTGATAGATAGGAACTGTCCTTTTCAGATGTAGAAATCACCTTTTTTTACTAACGAAAGTGCATTGTTAAATGAACTGGAGTTTCACCCTAGTATATAAGGCCATGACCACTCCCAGACGGGGAGGCAGTCTTGGAGGTGACTCGCTGTTCCCCAGATCTGTGTAATAAAGTGCATTTATGGATATTGCAGTCCAATGGTCTTATTGGCGACTGACTACGGAAAGAACCCCTTGCGTTCAGTAACACCATGAAGAGAGGAAAGGGCTTTCTTTATTGGTTCTGATTTTAACCCTTTCTTCCCTCAGTAACTCAAGATGTCACTGCCTCAACCATGACCCAACAGCCAATAAACACCCATCATAGGTGGCAACACGGTCATTTTGGTGTCATCTTCACCTGCCATCACCACAGTGACAGGGGCTGCACTCTGCACTTCCCTTCTGCCCTGCTGATGCCACTGAGGTAGACTTTCTGGTCTTAATCTATCTTCTCCAAGAATTTCAAAAGTAACATGATGATGATGTTGTTGCATACCATTGAGTCAGAACTGACTCATAGCCAATCAGCAGGTTTTCAAAAGCAGTAAACTTTGTACAGAAGGAGACATCCCTTCCTTCTCCCTCGGAGTAGCTGGTGGATTTGAAGTGCATGCCTTCAGGATTGCAGCGCAGCTTCCTCCTTTAAATCCTTATATTGAGTCCCTAGTGGTAAAATGGTTTAAGAACTCATGAGCTGCTGACCAAAAGATTCACAGTTAGAAACCAATCCACAATTCCCTAAAGATATCGTCACTGTGAGCAGAAATCAACTTGATATCAGTGAGTGAGTTTGGGGAGGCGTGTGTGTCTAAGTCTTTATAGACGAACTTTCTTAGAGATTATTTCTTTTTTATGTATCGATATGCCTATTCAGTATTGTCTCATCATTTTTCATGTTTTATTCTTCAGTGAATTTGCCATTAGTGACATATTGCTTGAGATCCAGAGCCCCACTAAACCTCATTTGCCACCCTTTGACCTGTTTCTAGCAGTTGCTAGCATTCTTTTTAGCTTTCCAAACAGTGACTTTTCAGTCTTCAGGCGGCAAAAAAATCCCTTTCTCTTCCCTAGGCAACCTCAAGGCTTTGCAAGACCAAGAATCCTTACCTTTCCAAACAAAATGCCTTTCCCACTTGGGGTCAGTAGCAGAAAGTGTGATCTTTTAGCATCTGATCTGCACAGTGTCTGACAGTTATCAGCTATTTGATGAATACATGTTGAATGAACAAATCATTTTAATAAGCATTGGATTAAACAAGGCAAAGAATGCTGGAGATGGAAAGGAGCAGCAATTGACGTCATTCACAACAGTCCGCGCCACGATTATGCTGCTGTGCGAAGGATTCGAGATGTTGGATCCCACAGAGTTAGGATTTCTGAGATAAGACTAGTAATAATTGGTTTACTCACTCAATAACCAACTACAGAATGCCTACTATGGGAACAATGACCAGGACAAAGCTAAATTTCCCAATTCCCTATCCAAAGTACTGGAAAGGAGGCTGTTTTAAGAGATATAATGGAAGAAGCAGAAAGACACGGTCTAGGCCTTGGATGAGAAAGACTGACGAATTTGAATCGCCAACTTTTTGGGCTAGTCGTTGAGAGCGTTTGTAAGTCAGGTGAGCGCTACCTGGGAGGGGAAGTCAAGAGCAACTCTGACTTTGGAACGCTCGGACCTTTTCTCCGCCGAGCCACGTGAGGGCGCTGCTTCTCTCTTCGTGTCGAGCGTCTCGGCACTGCCGCCTGCTCCTTTTCCTGGCGGAAATGCCGGGGCAATGACGGAAACCCTGTGGGAGGGGAGAGAAAGAACGAAAGATAAGGGGCGACCGAGCCGACAGAGGCCGGCCTGAGGGTGGGAGGGGAGGCGAGAGCAACGGCGGCCATCATCCAGCGGTAGCCGGGCGGAAGCGCTGCGCTGCCCTCTCCTCTACCTCCCTACGCCTTTCAGCGCCTCCCAGGGAGCGCGGGCGGGCGGGCAGGTAGACAGGGGTATCCCCCAGGCTGCGCGCCCGGAGCTGCCGGCTGGGCTTGGGCGGGGCGCGTGACCCGCGCCGCCCTGCCTGTCTCTGGCCTCTCCCTCCGGGAGCTGGCCGCTGAGGCGGCGGCGGGAGAGGGGA